TGTGGTCCCATAGGTGACCAGGTGCTCCTGTATCAGGAGACACGTCAGGTTCCATTGTCACTTTTGGTGATAATAGCAGCTACAGATGGTTGTTGCTTACAACTATTACATCATTGGGATGGTATTCTCACTTCCTGATTTCTTCTTCATTCACTAGCCAATACCTAGAGAAAGAGAAATTTACCCCCATCAACTATTTCATTGCTTTAAAATAACGGAATCTGCATAGGAAAAGCAGGGCACATGCTTGATTCTTCTTATTTACCGATTTCTAACATTTTCCAAATGAGCTTTACTTGCTGAGACAGCCATTCCACAACATCCTACTCCCATCCTTTCTCCAGAGCTAGATCATACAGCCCCACCTCACTGCCAGTGGGTCCACTGGTTGAAGCACAGCTGTTTTGCACAGAGTTTAAAGACTGTGTCTCCTTGATGCCAACGCCACGTGCAGACAAGCAGGAATTCTGCCATCAGCCCCAGAAGTCGTTGGTGAGTACGTGACTGGTGTGGACTTGTTGACTGCAGGGCAGCGGGGGTCATAACCTGGATCTGATGTTGGGCTTCATAGGCATTGTCATCGAACAGGTGCTCCTGGGCCCCAGACCATGTGCCCTGTAGAAACCTAATGCAGGTGGCCTCTGGTGAGCCGAGAGCGAGCGAGGAAGCAAAGCATGGATCGGGGATCAGTGTGACAGTGCTGTCTCTACCTCACAGGGTCGTCCTTGTTCATTTTGTCGATTTTTGGCTCAGGAAATACAGCCTTCTCTAGCCTTCATCTTTCATATTTGTAGAGCTCCTCCTGAGTCTTACATGTTGAACCTGTACACACACACTAGATACTGATTTTGGCAGTGGATGGAGGAGATCACCCAAACAAAAAGCCCCAATAAACGGAGTATTTTTGCAAATCTATTGTACTCCTTTGGGCTTTTTTTAAAAAAAGATTTATTTATTTATTTGAAAGGCAGAGTTACAGAGAGGCAGAGGCAGTGAGAAAGAGAGTGTGAGAGAGGTCTTCACTCCCCAGATGGCCACAACAGCTGGAACTGTGCAGATCTGAAGCCAGGAGCTTCCTCTGGGTCCCCTGTGCGGGTGCAAGGGCCCAAGCACTTGGACCATCTTCTACTGTTTTCCCAGGCCATAGCAGAGAGCTGGATCAGAAGTAGAGCAGCGGGGTCTCGAACCGGTGCCCATATGGGATGCCGGCGCTTCAGGCCAGGGCGTTAATCCACTGCGCCACAACGCCAATAAAAACTCAGTTGTTTTTAAAACAATTAGAATTTAACAGAGGTATCAAGAGAACATAATAGGTTACATTAACTCATTGCTTTAACAGAGAATCAGATGCTAATTCTATGTCAAAGAGAAATAGATGAATAGCTTTTGTATCCAAAATTTCTTTCTTTCATAACCTTCTGTGCCTTCCACGCACCCTCTTCACCTTACTTGAAACATACCGTTTCCATTCCAGTCCAGAGTAAACTATAGGCTGTTCTGTTGTAACTCAGGGATGAATGGTTGTGACCCCTTCCCTGCCTCTCCTTCCCAGCCTCAGTTTCCTCATCTGTAAAGCAAGAGCCAGCAAGACAAAAATCACACTGCATTCTCAGAGACACTGCTGCGTGTGTGGCTCCAGAATTCAGACCCTCAGTGGTCTTCTCACTTGTTCTCTATGACAAATGCATCAGAAAGGTCTGGCAGGGGTTACTCTTATTCCCATTAGGCAGATGGATGCGTTGAGGCTGAGAAATGTTAGCTGCTTGCCCAATGAACTGTTTCTTCTAATCTACAATGATTCTAATGAGCAGGAGGCTCATGTCTGTGCATGGATGTTGGCATATGGGATAATGTGGACTTGGGTTTCTCTGATGTTTGAATAGGAAAGGTGTGACTATTTGGATTTACGACCTCAGGCTGACACTGCTGGTGTGTTCTTTGATGATTACTGTTTGATGGATGTTCTGCGTTAGGATGCAGTTTGTACTGCATGCAATAAGTAGGGCATCACAAGCAGTAGCAGGAGGCAGAGATGTGGCGGGGCAAGGAGAGATGGGCAGGTAACAGAGAAGGAGCTGCAAGCTAACTAGCCAGATACCGCCAGCCTATGTACTGCAGAAGTGTGAACTCATCTGTGCCTCTTATTGATCCTATGAGGAAGGGTGCTGTCATCACGCCCATCCTGAAACCAAGTACTGAAACCAAGGCCTGGGAAAGTTAAATAACTTACCTGGACTTGTCAGTGTCAGAGTTAGAATGTGAAGCCAGGCAATCTGATTTCAGGGTTTGTCCCCTAACTGTTCTCCCGTCCAGGTCAGATCAGGCAGCCAGAAGCCTTGGTGATTTGCTCTGGTACAAAGCAAGAGGAGAAAAAGGAGGCTCACCAAACCTAGCATGTTGCAGGGGAACTGGCACACCACATACTGCTGGCAGCACTCTCTTTTTATAAAGCATTATGTGACAAGAACCATAAAGTTTTCTATATTTGCTGATCAAGGAATGCCAATCCTAGAAATGTATTATACTTCAATTAAAGCATCCCGAAGTTTATTGTATGATCTGTAATAATGAAAACTGGGAGCAAATTAAGTGTCCTGGAATAACATATGATTAAGTAATTTCACAATACATTAATTTGTTGGAATGCTGTGAAAACATTTACCACGATAATTACAAAGACTGTGTAAAAGGATGGGAACATGTTTCTGACAAAATGTTAAGTTTAAAAAGCAAGATTTAGGGGCTGGTGCTGTGGCGTAGTGGGTAAAGATGCCGCCTGCAGTGCCAGCATCTCATATAGGCGCTGGTTCGAGTCCCAGCTGCCCCACTTCCTATCCAGCTCTCTGCTGTGGCCTGGGAAAGCAGTGGAAGGTGGCCCAATGCATGGGACCGTCCACCCATGTGGGATACCTAGGTGAAGCTCCATTGTGGCCATTTGGGGAGTTAGCCAGTGGATGGAAGATCTCCCTCTTTCTCTCTGCCTCTGCCTCTCTGTAACTCTGCCTTCCAAATAAATTAATAAATCTTTTTTTTTAAAAAAGGAGGATTAAAAAATATGTAGGTTATGATGATAACTCCCATATAGATGTGTAGTGGCCAAGTCTGACAGGAAGAATTCTACTTAGTACTTGGTGTTAAGTACTAAGTGTTTGTCAAAGTTTTTCCATTTTTTCTAATAGTTATGAGCGATGGCATTATTGTTTTATGGAGAAGGAGCAAGCTCGTAGCAGGAGTGGGTTGGAATTCTCGTTGTGCGTGAGGCTTGGCACTGTTGGTAGACTTTTCTCTCAGCCCTCTCTTCTCTGGGAGCAGCCAGGGGCCTTAGGCTGGGGAAGAGGGCTTTGCTCTGAGGGAACTAGGGGCTTGAGACGGACAGAAAAATGTGCCCAGGGGAATCTTGCCCGCCGTGGCCACCGGGAGCAAGGCAGCCAGGCCACGGCTTCCCCTCTGTTGCTTCTTCCTTCCATACTACTCCTGTTAGCCATTCAACCCTCAAAAGTCTTAGAAGTCACTTTCTCTTGGGGGCCAGTGTCTGGCTCTGCAGTCAAGTCCCCAGCTCCGAGTGCCTGGCGTGAGCCCCAGCTCCTTCCTCCTTGATACAGCCTCCTGCTCATGGACACCGCGGGAGGCAGCAGATGGTGGTTCACGCATACTCCTGTCAGCCACGTGGGAGACCTGGATGGAGTCACTAGCTCCTGGCTTCGGTCTGGCCCACGCCTGGCTGTGTAGGCTTTGGGGGAGTAGTGAACCAGTGGATGGAAGATCTCTATTCTCTCTACTTAAAAAAAAAAGGAAAGAAAAGTGTGCACCTCCACTGTCCCCCTCCTCCCACCACCAAGCTGGGTGCCCCTGGAGGTGCCTCCCTTCCCCAGCGTCCTGTGCTGCTGCTCTCCTCTGCACCGAGCAGGCTCTGTGAGGGCCCTCTGGGCTGCAAGGGTAGGGGTCTCTGTTCCCTGACTCAAGCACAGGGTGTATTCAAAGACTCCCCCTTTTCCTTGTCTGTGAGTGCAGGTTGGGTCCCATTCCTTGCAGCCTGCACACTGTGGTTTCACCAGCTGGTTCGTGCCACTCACTCAACAGCGAGCCCCTGGGTTTGAAGAGAAGTCCCAGGGTGGGAAGTGTGCTGCCTTTCTGCCTGTGGCTGAGCCCAGCCTCTGGCCTCCCTGTGAACCGGGACTGAAGGTTGCGCTGGGAGTTCTCACAGCAGATCAGCTGCGTGAATGCTGTCTCTGCATCTACCTGATAGTAGGACTTTGGGGTAAAGGCTCTTTTTTTTTTTTTGGCTTCTGTCTTGCAAGCGGAGTGGAGTGACGTGGTGGCTGAGCCTCTACATGTGAATCTCAGGAGCCAGGGATGTCACATATCTGCCTGCCACTGCGAAGTGGGCGTGTCTGTGCACATGGCTGGGTGTGCCCCTGTCAGGGCAGCGAATGGTGGATAAGCAGCCCTGGGTTTTCTGGAGTGTGTCTCTCTGTAGAGATCGTGAGAACCTCCCAGGGAAGGAGTGGTTTTCAAGTCAGCAAGTAATTCCTGCGAGCGTTGTGCTCTGCAGGAACAACAGCCGGGTGGGTCAGGCAGGGAGCCCAGCGTGTGCCTGTTCTGTCTGGGTGTGCTCTGTGCGTCCCTCTGTGTGTCTTTGGGACTGCGATCTTGCCAAGCGTGCTGCTGTTAACGCGGCGTTTGACGTGTGCCTATCTGTAGGACAGCGCCTGGGTCCTGTGTGCGGCTGCTGGCTCGCTGGCGGCTTCACTTGGGCCCGCAGTCAGGCTCTGCACGTGCGCAAGCCTCCCTGCGCACGTCCCCAAGTGACCCGTGCGCGGGGTGCAGGGACCTCTGGGTCGTGTGCACTTGGTGCGCTCGTGCCCGGCTCTCCGCACTAACGGACGCACCTCCGCATGTCTGGGAGCACGTCCCTCTCCATGTGTGCACGTTCCGTGTGCACGCCGCCCGGTTCTGTGTGCAGGGGCGCTTCGCCCGCGCGCGCGCGCTCCAGTCCGCGGGCCGCTCGGGACCCGCACGGGGCTCCACGCGCCCCGGAAGGCTAACCCCTCCCTCTGCGTCCCACAGCGGGCCGCGGCGATTGGCCGCCCGCTCCCTCCCTGCCTGCACCCCTCCCTTCCCCCCTCCCCCGCCACCCGCGCGCCCGCGGTCCCCGCTGTCCCCCGCGGTTCCGGCGAGGCCGCGCCGCGCTGCGCTCCGCTCCCATTGGCTGCGCGCGCCTTTGTGTGGCGGCAGCTGCGGCCCCAGCGCCTTTGAATGTCGAGAGGGGCCGGGAAGGGAGCCTTTCCATGGGCCATCTGTCTCCCCGCCAGCCGCCGCCCCGCCGCCGCCCGCGCCCCGCGCTCCGCCTCCCGCCCCGGCGGCTCCCGCAGCCCCGCCGCCGCCCGCGCCCGCGCCCCGGAGCCGCGCCACAAAGGGCCCGCGCGCAACCGCCGCCGCCGCCGCCGCGCGAGGAGCCAGGATGGTCCTGGTCCACGTCGGCTATCTCGTGCTTCCAGTGTTTGGCTCTGTGCGAAACAGAGGTATCGCTTTTTCCTTTCGGGGTCTGCTTCGGAGCGTGGATCGCCGCAGGCACCGGGCGGGGGCGGGCGCGGCGGGCAGCCGGGGGCTCAGGGCACACCCGCGGGGACGCGGGGCGAGTGGTGGCTTCTTCCCACCCCCTTCTGGGGGACCCCCGAGTGTCGGGGTGGCCACCCTCGTGGGAGCTTTTGTAGTGAAGTTAGGGTTTGGTGCATTTGAGTCCCTCCCGCCCCGGTCCCCTTTTTATTCTTTGCGGCGGACGTGGTTCTCCCAAATTACAGTCGGTTCCCTGGTTCCCCTAATACCTAGCCCTGAGTGCATGAAAGGAGGGAGATGTACGACCGTGTGTGTGTGTGTGTGTGTGTGTGTGTGTGTGTGAGAGAGAGAGAGAGAGAGAGAGAGAGAGAGAGAGAGAGAGAGAGAATATGAATATATACTTGGCTCTCCGTGATTGGCTTTTTTGGAGCTGTATATGTTTTGTGGTACATGTGTTTTGCATTTCTTCATTTTTTGGCCGTGAACCCCAATGGCTGGTTAGCTGGGACCCGGGTATCTGCCCTGTCCCACACCCCAGCCCCCATCCTCCGTGGGCACTCGGACCATCCACCATCTCCCGCCCCCCTTTGCTCCCCTGCACCCCTTTTGTGCCATCGCCCTCGTGCTGCAGCCCTGCTCCCCCGCCCCCGCAGTTGTCTCGGTGTGACAGTTGCGTTTAGGGGTTCGAGATGCCTGGGTGTGTGTGCCAATGTGTGTGCCTGGGTGCAAGTGTGTGCGCGCGCGTGCGCGCACCGCGAGACTCCGGCATGCGCTGCCTGCCGGGCTGCCTGTTCGAGGAGGAGGAGATGGAGGAGGAGGAGGAGGAGGAGGTGGAGAAGGAGGAGGAGGAGAAGGAGGTGGGAGCCGCCCCCGCGCCCGGCCCTTGCCCCGGCCGCGGTTGACCAGGCAGCCAGCCGGCGCGGTCTACGTTAACTGTGACCTATGGGGTGTGTTTGCACGGTTCCCATCCCCTCACATCCTGCCACACCACAATAGCTTAGTGTCCCCCTTTTCCCTCCCCACCCCACATTTCTTCCATTTTCTTCTAATCAGAAATTCCCACCCTCCCCAAGCAAATCCTAGATGCATTTAGATTCATTTTTTTTTTTTTTTTTGTATTCTGCCTCTGGACTCACATTTCTCTTCTTGGAAATGTTTCTTCTATCCTCTCCCACTCCACGTCTGCTGAGATCCTTGCTGGCCGAGCCCTCCCCCTGCCCACTCCCTCCCACACGGAGTGATGTCTTCCCCAGAGGGACCAGGGCTGCTCCACCGAGTCCCGGGGGGTGGGGTCGCAGGGCCAGCTCCTCAGTGCGCCCCAGGGGCCCGATTGGGCCAGGCCAGGGAAGCCCAGCCCTCTTCCAGCCCAGCTGTCCCCAGTCCTGCGCCTCTCCCCAGAATCGAAAAGGCAAGGTTGCCCCCTTAGGCCTGTTGGAACCGCAGTTTTTTTTGTGTGATGATAGAATGATGACATTCTGCATTTATCAAATCTTTTTTTTTTCTTCATTGTGTAGCTCAGTGAATGGTCAACTCGCTGCTGTGTGCGCTGTGGCCCTCCCGCCTCTGCATTTAGCTGTATTGTGACACCCCTCTTAACCATTTCCTGTCTCCATCTGAGGAAGGCATTGCTATTTAAGCGGCAGTATCCCCTATCTCAGGCCAGCCTAGCTGGGGGAGGGGTGAGGAAGAAGAGGGATGGGGGGGCAAGTGTTCTCTCCTGGAAATGCCGACCCCCCCATAAGCAAGTTACTTGGCATTTCTTCTGAAAACGGGTATGGAACATTACACTAGGCAGAAATTCAAAAATGATTAAAAAGGATGTTGAGCCTGAAAGTATAATTATCCTGATTAAATCATTATCATCCTCATTAATACCACCGATCTGTAAATACCATCGCAGGATGCCGAATCCATGTTTTGAAATTCAAATTGTTCAGCTGCCTTTAAATTTTATTTTTAATATGCCCCTCCCCACCCCCAAATCCAGCAAAACAAATTCTGCCCGTCCATCCAAGTTTACTTTCATGGCAAACACGCCCACAGGAAATTTAAGGAGGAAGGGGTGAGAGTTGGGTTGAGGGTAAGGTTTCGCACAGTGTGCTAAGAATTCATGACCTTCCGATAGAGGATACTAATGCTTAACTTCGACAAGGTCCCAAGCCACAATCTTCCTGTAAAACTGAGCTAGTCTGCCAGCTTAAATCTGTTCTTTTTAGTTTCCATTGTAGTAGTGTAGGCTGTAGGCCATTTCAGAATAGATGTAGAGAAATAACCATTTTTGTATCTTCATCTTGTTTAGCTGAGTACATTGCACTGTAAATCCCTGTTAAGTGGATTCCTTTTGCCTTGGCTTGGAGGCTGCGGCACCCCATTCTCCAGTTATCTGGGTGGCCACTGGCAGCACCCAACCATAACTGAGGATTATAGGCATCGGAGGCAAAAATATTAAATATCTATACATATATATGAAAAGACAATCTTGGATGAAATGGTACTTATTGCCATAACATAGTCCCTGAAAATTCGGTGCACCAAGGTCCCGGCTTAGGGGGAAGCCATGGCCAGAGTGTCTTAATTGTTTAATTGTACAATGTCAAGAGTATCTGTGGACATCTGGCCTGGCCCTCAGAACTGCCCCTTTAACAGCCGGCTCCCTTCTGCTGCCTCGCCAGCCAGCCCTGCTTGAAAACGGAACCAAAGCAGCAGCAGCAATCGTGAAAGAATAAGGCCCCTGCTTCCAGGGCCCTTCCAAAATAACATCCCAAGGAGCCTCCGCAGACTGCCCTTTGGCAATCTGAAAAGACCGAGGTCAAAAAAAAAAAAAAAAAGAATCCCAGCAAAATGGTTTTCCATTAAACAGGGGTAGCGTGTTCTGCTGTGCTGAATTACTTCCTGTTCTTATTTTGTGGGTAATTTTTTCTGTATCAAATATCCTTTTGGTTGTGTATCTTTTTCACCTTTTCTTGTACTAAAACTGAAGCATGATCTGTATTTTTTTACATCCCCCAGTTGACAATGTACAGCGCTCGGTTAGAGATGTACCCTGCTGAACCGTACTGTGCTCGTGTACCCCGGGCCATCTGCTCATTGTACGCTGCTTTTGTTCTGTTGTTGCTCTTCCGAAGCATGGTGGGCCCAGCCTTTTTTTTTGTACCGTGTGCATGACGACATTGTTACACACAGAATCCACTAATACTAATATACAATCTCTCAATAAAGAACTAGTTTTCCTATATTAACCTAGTGTGCTTTTTCTCTTGCTGTTTTTCCCATTTATTGTCGTATCCTGCTGTTTAGATCTCCCTTGCTTTTCTATCCCCACCCTCACCCACCTCCCATTGTAAGAGCCGAGTGAATGCCTTTTCTTTTTACTTTCCTTTTTTTCCCCCCTTTTTGTTGTTGTTGGTACAGATATGGTGGCTTTAATCTCATCCAGTCCCTATCTATTCACAATAGCAGTCTGGGGCGATGGGCGGGGTCAGTCTTCCTTCCACTGAAACAGCCCAGCTGCAGAGAGAGCCCCTGGTTCTGGCCACCTGTCTGTTTAGCAACCTCCACATTTCATCTTAGTTTCCAAATTACATGGGCTCCCGCTTTACGATGCTGGCGAAGGGCAGGGGGTGTAACACTTAGGTTGAGAAAAGGGATACTGTTCTTAACTAGCAATCATGTAGCATTTCAGACTCGCCTGAAAAACCCATTTTGAGTTGTGTTTCAACTTTTCTGTTTACTGTCTCATTGATTGACTGTCCTTATAAATCATGCGGGGGGTGACATGTGACATGTAATTGGAGCCATGATCTGGAATGTTAAAGGATCCTCTTGCATGGGAATATTTAGGTTCTTGGGATGGGCAATGTAAGTTTGGCATGGAGCTTCTGGGTAAGGAAGATTTTCCAAACAGAAACCACCACCTGAGGCCACTCCCACCCCTGTCCCAGCACTAGTAGCTGGAGGCGTTCCTCTGGGAATAAGAGGGTCCCCGTCCTCTGCAGAACACGACCTGTTACAGCGGAAGATAGTCTTCCTGCCTGACAGCTGCTTCATCTGTGGCCCTGCAGCCTCTCAAGAGAAAGGAAGCCAGCTCTGGGCCACGGTTGAAGTGTGTGTGTGTGTGTGTGTGTGTGTGTGTGAGATCTGCAGAGAAGTCAAGACCTGCCTCCAAACAATTGGAAGAAGAACCCTTAAAATGTGTCTTTTTTCCGTAATTGCACTGGAGAAGCCAGTGGAGAGGTATTCCTCCCCCTGCCCAGAGTGGAACCCAAATTCAAGCGTTTGTCAATTATACCTATTCAATTTCAGCCCAGAACAAGCCTTGCTAAATGAGGCGTTTTAGTCACCAGAGGAAATCAGTTGATTAGAGAAATTCATGGTTCCTTCGAAGGGTCATCGTACTGGAGCCGCCGGCTTGGAGCTGTCTCCCGGGGTTACCTGGGTGCCTTCCCTGACCACCGAGCTCGGTGGCCTGCTGAGTGGCTTCGGAGACCCTCCTCTCCCCCCAGGCCTGCCTCCTCTGCTCTGGGCCTTTGTTCTGCTCTTCCCAGGCAGGGTGGGAAAGCTGAGCTGATTTGCTGTGACACAGGGACACACGTGGAGGCTCCAGCAGAGGCTCCTGCAGTACCTTGTGCAGGAGGAGGTGTGCAGGTCTACACAGCTGATCCTTCGAGGATTTTGATTTCTTTTTAAACACATTTTCAGTTTACATGAAGCTTTTAATTTTGATCCAAACTCCGAAAGCCAAATAACGCCACCAACCCAACCTCAACAATAATAAAACACCTCCAGGTCAAATGATTGCTCTCGCTTTTGTCCTAAAGAGCAGTGGCTCATTAGATCAGTGTTCGCCAACTCCAAGGTTTTATTATTCTGAATTAGCGTTAAGTATGCCAGAATCGTTTGACAGTGTGTTTCAAGGATAGGTTAGTAACCTAGTAGTAATATATAAAGCTGTTGGGTTAATGGGGAA